AATATAGAAAACGACTTCTATATGTAGTACTAGTACATTTGTTTAAAATTTAAAAATGGCATAGTTAATTACAAAGTTTTTGTTTGCCTTCATTTGTAACTATGTCAAAATGAAAACTCATTTTCATGCCCTACATATATTTTTTTTTTAACATTTCGCTCGTCAGTTATCTATTGCTTATCCTTTTGTGATTTGAATTGTGAACCGCTCACAAAAAAAAAACGAACATTGAATTAACTTTAACTTATACAATTAGCCTTGCCTAACAAAAGCGAGGAAGCTAAATTTCAAAATGTCACGCATTAACTATGCTCTTGCCAGGATTCTTGTCTCTGCTAAGGCTTCTATTTTTCCTGGTAGTTATATATGTATTTACAAATTAAGGTGTTGCCCAAACTAAATATTTTTTTTTACATTTCTCGCTTTTTTTTGTTTTTCCCTCCAAATATCGTTAATTTAATTAATAAAAAGTCAGCTACTTTTACTATTGCCGCGTCTCAATGTTTGTTTTCCTTAATTTGCGCTTAAATTGTTACAATTTATGGTAGCGCTCGAAACACAAACTTCCCCTCGCTCCTTCACACTCAGTTAGGCATTTTTATGCCCTGTTGAAAATCAAGCGTCTGCTGTTGTTTCTTCACTTCATCTTGCATTTCTAATGCCATTTTCTTATACTTCTCAGCTTCTTTATCATTTTTTTCAATGCCATCGCCACGCGCATACATTTGGCTTAGATTTGCGCATGCGTACATATTGCGAAGCTCACAAGCTTTAAACGCGAATTCGAATGCCTTCTTCATATCCTTTTGTAGGATGAAGTCACTGTCTTTCGACGCCGCCTTTTTGTTAGTATCAGGTGTGCTAAGGTGCGTTGATATTTCCGCCTTCTTCTGTACACCGGATATATGCATGCCAGAGAGGTAGAAACAGGCGGTGGCATTATTCATGTCGCAACTCTTTGATAGGAACTCGATGCCCTAAAAAAGTGGAAGAAAATTAAAATCTTTAGTGGGAAATTAAGCGTACATGTATAATGTATATATTTGTAAAATAACATTTAAAATTAGCACTTGGTAATGATATGAAAGTAAATGAGCTTGAAGCGGGCTAATCGTTATCTTTAAATTCATGCATGTGAAGTTATGTTTCATAAGAGCAATAGTAATTTTTGCTAGCGCTGTACTTAGAGAAACATTCTCGAGGTCCACAGAGAACCCTCTTCGATAAGCGAAATGACATTCACATTAAGCCTGTTCCAGGTACTTCAAGAGTTTGTTTGATGGTAAAGGATTTTACAGGAAGCGGTTCCCGAACGCGACCTTACATACAATTTATCAATGGCGAAATCAGATTTTCTTGCAAATACTGGAGAGTCTAGAACATTCTTATTATTCGACCAAAGTTACAACCGCTTGACGTATGCGCAGTGTTATGTAACGAGTGTGGTGTTTTTCAAACAAAAAGAAGCCCTCTTCAAGAGCACTCAATTCGCACGGTCTACCAACCGTCCATTACACACCTTCGGCACATTCCGGTCGATCTCCTTATGCATGGAACGTGATACCAGCAGCAGTCCTGTATGTAAACAAGCATCTGGATCGTTTAGAATACAGCCTTTTTCGTAATATGTGTATGCGCTACGTGGATCACCCTTGCTGCCGCTTTTACCTTTACCCAAAAAGCTGTAGTTACCAAATTTGAAGCAGGACTTTGCATAGCCATAATCATCGCATGTGGATTTGTATACTTTAGCCGCCTTTTCAAAGTCTTTCTTAATGCCCTCCAAGTAGTCACCGAGCAAATGGCAAACTGCAATGTAAAAATTACTTTAAAACGCGCAAAAATATGTACATGCAATATGAGTGATTTATAAAAGCAGATTTTTTTTGCAAACGCTTGCGAAACAGGCGCCACGACAATGGGTAGGTTATGAACCGCCTGCTCCCCTTGCCAAGATGTGCGTACGTGTGAAGACAAGTGATTGCATAGGCGATTGTTGTCCACCGTTTTCTGCATGCAGCTCGTCATGTAAGTGCTTACCCTCAGGTTTCTTCTCTGAATAACAACCGAAACGATATTCGATGCCCAACTTCTCTATGTACTCCTTAACATCCGATTCCTTCTTCAGATCGTAAGCCATGATTTATTCTGGATTTCCACTTTTATCACTTTTAATTTCACAGGCGGCTGAAACAGTAGCAACAGTAGAAAATTGCCGAAAAAAAATAAGATTTGCGGAAAACTAGTAAAACGTCAAAATCACTAGAGGGACGGACAGTGTTGCTTGCCTTTAATTTCTGATTGGCCAACGTGAAAACGGGAAATTGGCCAGTTACATTTAAAAAAGCGAAAGCCATCAGATGAAATAAATAATTAAATGAGCAAACAAACTTTTAGTTTTCAGAGATACAAAAAATTGAAAAATTATTAGTTTAATTTCCGTATGAAATTAATAAGTAGCCCATGTTGCCTCACTTTGCAACGCTGCTAAACACCTTGCAAGCTCACATATAGATGTCGCTGAAACTGAAGGAAACTGCCTTTTACGGAGGTAGCTACTAGCCGTCATCGATTCGCCGTCAGTTAGCAAGTGGCGAAACGAACGAACTCAATGAGGTACAACCAAACTTGCTATCGTCTAACCGTGCTAGCTAACTTTGTTGTTGCTTTCACATGCAAAATTTTTCGTTAAGCGACCGGAACTCCAACATAGCGAGCGAGAAGTGGCGAATCGACGACGGCTACTGTCAAGTCACAGAAGCAGCGGAAATTGTGTGCTTGTTCCGTTGAAAATTATATCGGCCTGATAAACAGTGCAATAACAAATATGGACTCAGGGCAAGTGCGGGGGTCAATTCTTTCTGGTGAAAATAAATTTATTTGTTAAATGTTTACTCTGTGAAAAGCTTTCTTCGCAAAGTTTTGTGCCTTTGTAAAAGATAAGTTAGACCTTTTGCTGAAAACCATAATCTTATGATAAGGAAAATGGTCATCTTTTATTCACAATAACATAAAATGTGATGTTTACCTGTTGAGGTCTTAGAAGGAAATTATGCCACCCGAAGAGAATTAGTTAGATGCTAACCAGGAAAAATAGTGGTTGGTTGCTCATTGATTTTTAAGCCGTTCTTTGATCAAGCACAGGATAAGATAATCGATGGCAAGAAAACAATTGTTTCAGTACTCTTATGACATATACATACAATCTATATACATACTAATATATGTAGGACTGATCTCATTCGTTTTGGTCCTTGCAAAGTGTTGTCCTCCCAGGGATATTAATTTCGAGGCTCCTTTCACTGCTCACCCTCACAAGCAGGCTCATAGTCTGACGTGTTCTGCTGTCAGCTAATATCTCATACCAAGCAGGCTTCAAGGCGTTTGTGAAATAATTTTTGCAGAGTACTTTGGTCTGCTACATCGAGCACGTTCATAATTTAAGTGTCATTTAGTGGAAGTTGCGGCGCATTTAGTACACTTGCAGACGTTATTAAGGTTGGAAAAGAATATATGTATTAAATTACTGAAAGTGCATTATTTAAATAGGGCAGCAAAACATATTCTAATTTATTGAATTTCTCATTTATTTTTTTATTAATCAGCAATTTTTGCAACACATAAATGTCTAAATGTTTATTAGTATTATTTCACTACATGCAGTTATGCAACTAAATTTAAGTAATGATTTGATACATATGTATGTGTGTATACATGTGTGTATTAAAATGTTCTTATACATAGTTATTGTACGATTTAAAACACCTACGAGTGTTTTTGCTCTCTTTTTTTTTTAGTTAGTTAGTGGTTAAAAAGTACGAAAAGCAGAAATTATAGCTTAATTTGTAGCAAAGGTGGGTAGGGTATTAGGAGAAGATTAGGTGGTGTAGGGCATATACAAAAAAGACTAATAAAGGAAATGTGAGAAATAAATTGAACGAAATGTGTGTAAAAGATTACAATACATAAATTGATGGTATTTGTGACAAAGTATTTAAGCAGCATATATAAAGGTCTGATTATGGCAACCTAACTTAACGTTACTTAGAAAATCAAAATGAAACAGATTTCGACGTTGCTTGTAGTTAAGTTTGGCCTTTCCAAATATAAGCAACATCCATTTAAGAAAAATTTTAAGTGACGTTAAGTTTGTAGTTCAACTTAGTATAATGAAAATTAAGCTCAACAGAAAAAAATGCCTGCGATCAACTCAAGCCAAATTCAAAAAGGGACTACGATTTAATTATGCAAATTTCAGCGTTTTTGTACACTTGAGTGCATGCGAATGTTCACTGTTACCGTCAGTTTTCGCTTTTCCAAGTATATATCTGTTTTTATTTCTCCTAATTAGGAAACTTTATGACCCTTTAGGCTCTGTTCTTTATTCATTTTGAAATATTACTGTTTTCTATCGCATTTTTTCTCATTTTTCTTTAATCTTCGCTATAATTGCTTATTTCTTTTCAGTGGAAACTAACTATAACTTAATTATGTATCTGCAATAAACCCAAAAGCATTTTGGTTTTCGTATTTTTCAGGTTTTTCTTTATTGTATGTAGCTTTTTCCTTATTCTCGAATACAATTATTTATGTTTTTATTTCATTGAATTGCAACAACTCAAAAAGTAATAATGCCGTCTCACAAGATACTTGTATATTATACACGTCATAATATAATTTTATATGTATGCAGTTATATATGTATACAACTAATGCGCCGCTTCATAAGCAGGTGAAATTTACGTAATTTTTATTTTTTTATTTTAAAGTAATTTAATATCATACTTTTTATTGTTTAAATTGATCGTATGTTCTTATTAAAAGAAAGCCAAATTTTACTTAAATGTGTTTAGTTAAGTAAATTATTTTCAAATTTTTTTCTACTTAAATCATAAGTAGATTTTCCTCAGCTGTTGTTATTGCTATTTGTTTCTGATCGTTTTGTAGATGTTGTTTAGTTGTTGTTCCTACATACATACGCTGTACGCTTAAAAGTAATAATAATTAAGTTAAAATTAAAAGCGTTTCAAGTTGGTGCGGTTTAGTTTTTCTTGTTCTAGTTGTTGTAAGTTGCTTCTCTCTACTTGGGCTAGCTTGAAAATTGTTTCAGTTGTTGTTGCTGTTATTCGTGAATAACAATGAATATTTGTATTGTATTGCATTCAACTACTTAATCATGTTTCCTGCATCATTTACTAAAATTTGACGCTTCACTATTTACTTTTGTTTAATTTACTTTCCATAAAACTATTTCGCGTTTTAAGTTTAGTTTTTGGTTATTTTCCACTTTTCCGCATCTCGCCTCCCACTCAACTTCAACTCAGCTCTACCGCGCTTCTAAACCCTTTTACATTTACTTCTGCACCATTTTCATCAAGAGGTCGGTCGACAACGATTTGGGTCTCTCGATGGGCAGACCTAACGCACGATCCCAGATCAATGAAGCCAACACGCCGAGAGCGCGCGAAACGCCGAACAATACGGTGTAGTAGTTCATCTCCTTCATGCCGTAGTATTGGAGTAGCACACCAGAGTGAGCATCCACATTGGGCCAGGGGTTCTTGACCTTGCCGGTTTCGGTGAGGATTGGTGGCACGATCTTGTAGATCTTCGACACCAGTTGGAAGAGATCATCGTCGGGCAGGTGTTTGAGCGCGAACTCACGTTGGCAGGTGTAGCGTGGATCGGTCTTGCGGAGTACAGCGTGGCCATAGCCGGGCACAACCTAAAGGAAATAGCGTAAGTAGAAGTTCACATCGAAGCTAAAGTAAAGTTAACCTACCTGTCCTGACTTCAAGGTCTTCCAGACGTAGTCCTTCAATTCATCTTCCGATGGGTTGGCACCCAATTGCTTCTGTAATTTGCGTAGCCACACCAACACTTCCTGATTGGCCAAACCGTGCAATGGACCAGCCAAGCCGTTCATGCCAGCGGCGAAGGAGAGGTAGGGGTCACTCAAGGCGGAGCCAACCAAATGCACTGTGTGTGCAGACACGTTGCCACCCTCGTGATCGCTGTGGATGGTCAAGTAGAGACGCATCAATTCGGTGAATTTGGGATTGTCATAGCCCAACATCTTGACGAAGTTCGCTGACCAATCCTGACTGGAATCAACCGATTTAGAGCCTTTGCCGCCACGGTAAGTATTGCAATAGATGGTTGCGGCAACGACGGGCAGTTTAGCAATCAAATCCATGCTGTCCTCGTACACGTATTCCCAATACTTGGTCTTGTGCACGCCCTGCAATGAAAACGCAAAGAAAGGAGAGAGAGAGGAGTTGTGAGTATGCAATAATTCTAAACATCATATGCCCAACTTACCTCTGAGTAGGCCTTAGCAAATTTGCTGTCATGATTTAGCGCAGTGACGGCGCATGCCAATTGCGACATCGGATGCAAAGTGGTGGGCATGTTGTTCAACATCGTCACAACATGTTGTGGCAGTGCGGCGCGTTCGGCCCATTCCTTGGACAGTTGCTTAACTTGACCCTTAGTTGGTACATCACCAGTAAGCAACAACCAGAAGAGACCCTCAGGCAATGGTTCTTCGCCGCCATCGGCCTTGGGCAATACCTTTTGGCATTCAGGAATGGAGAGACCACGGAAACGAATACCTTCATCGGCGTCCAAAACAGAGGTTTCGCAAACGAGACCCTTAATGCCACGCATGCCACCGTACATCTGTGGTGAGAGAAAAGGGTAAAGTTAGAATACATATGAAGTTAACAAAAAATTAAGCTAAAATTGTAGTTTTTTTTTATTATTTTAGCACGTTTTAAATTAATATTCGAAAAACAAAAACTAACTACAAGGCCGGCAAAAAGTATTGGCACAGCTGCTTTTTTCCAATATATGCCACAATTTTTATTGTAATATTTTCCGCCATTTTTTTTTTTATAAAAATATGGTTCATTCTAAAACAAAAAAAAATAAATAAAAATATAATTTCCAAACTTTGTGCAAAACTCGAGAAATTTAGCAAATTTTCGTGCAAGTTTTCAACCTTTTAACCAGAAAAATTGCAAGTTCGGAGTTAGTCAAAAATCGCATTGCTTTTTGAGATTTTTTTTTTTGTTGAAAGTGCTTTGCACTTTTCCCATATAAAGTATTTTCGAAAATTTTTTTTTTGTATGGAAGACTGCGTGAAAAAAAATTGTCAAAAATCGATGGAAATTCGTAGCTACTTAGAGCTTCTACTTTATTGTAATAAAATTGATTGGGCTACAAATCTGCATACTCAAAAAAATTCTAAAAAATCTGTTTAAAAAGTTGAAAATTTGCTGAGTTTTGTACAAAGTTAAGAAATTTGTTTTTATGTTTTTTGTTGTAGAATGAACCATATTTTTATAAAAATGGGCGGAAAATATTACAATAAAAATTGTTGCATATATTGTAAAAAAGCAGCTGTGCCAACACTTTTTACCAGCAGTGTAAGTAAAGCACGAACTTAAGATCATCACCTGTCAGAACTAGAAATCACGCTGAAGATGGAGAAAAGCCGCAACCGGTGTGTCTCCATACCGACATTGACAAGGGATGATAGAAATTCGTTCTAAAGGGCCCGTTGCGGCAAAGCGTATGACTGACTGCTGAGTAGATTGTATGTTTTGTAAGTAACCTACTGATTTGTTCTTCGTTTTAAACCTCACGTCTTTTGCATACCTTGCCGCAGAGGGTGGAACAGAATCATTCTGAAGGGGCCATAAAATATATCACACTCCTACCCTCTCGAATGCATCAGCAATCAAAGAGAGGAACATTAGGCTGAAAACTCGGTATATTGCACAGAAATTGAAAAGTTATTTAAACTTTCTTTATGTGCTAATTTTAATAAATCCTTTTTTTGCTTGTAATAAAAATTTTGTGAAAATAAAGAGAAAAAAGCAACCTTCGACGCTTAATCATTATCTTATCAGTTCAATTCAAATTAACTTTCGGTAACTAACTGCGAATTGGCTTAATTTTAGGTACATTTAATTACTTTTTAAGTCCATTATGTAAAGTGACCACAAAAAAAAAAAATGCAATCACTCGACGCCTCCATAACTATTCTTTGTTTTCTTATACATATTTGTATTTGAATAAAACAAATTTAAAATTGCAAAACTTATTATGTATTTAGCTCAAATTCAAAGCTGAATATATGATTCTTTACTTAGCTTTGGCCATACAACATTATTCTCTGCTTTTGAGTTTGACCCTTTGACCTTGGCGCGCAACGCTAACAGCACAATTCATTTCAAATTGCACTGCTAATGTCTTGCAATCGATCCGTTGTATATAATGCATACAATGTGTAAATACATAAATGCATAGTCACACGACTAGACCACACCCACACTGCCTTTTTCTTAACCCTTTCAAGACCAAGGGAAACATGCTTTCTGTGCATAAGAAAATGGTTTCTGTTCTTTATAATGTGTCCCATTTTTATTTAATTATTTTTATCATACAATTTTGGAAATACAAATTAAATATTTTGATCAAAACTAAAGAAATTACCATGTATTATAAAAATATTAGTTTTTGAAGCAATACAAATTAAAGAAAGCAATAAATTTATGAAAAAATGACTGCTTGGAAAAAATTTAGGAAGAGATATTGAGACAAAAAATTAAAAAAAAATTCTTTTAAAACTTGCTTCTTTAAAACTTACGTTTTAGGAAAAAAATATTTTTTTTGTGAAATTTTTTTTCCTGAAAATTATCTTCATATTTGTATAGTATTTTATTTGGGAGAAAATTTATTAAAAAAAATATTTTTACAAAAAGCAGAAATAATTATAATTATCTAAACAGAAACAAATTTTAAGAAATTGAATGGATTTCCTTATTTTTTGAAATTTTTTTTTGTAGACCATAATGAAATTTTTTTCTGAAAATTATTTTTTTGTAAGAATATTTGCCAAGGAAAAAATGTATTTAAAGAAAACTATTTTTACCAAAATCCAACATATTTTTTTTTAAATTTTTAGTGCTCACAAAATTTTTTTTACAAAAAGCAGCAAGTTATCCAAACAGAAAAAAAATATTTAGGGGAAACAATTTTGTATGATAAAACAAGACAGAGTTTTAATTATAGGCTTACGATCTCGAAAGGGTTAAAGCAATTATATTTTGTGTGACCATTTGGCCATGGTCTTTCGTTTTTGCTTAAGCAGTTGAATACATTTTTTTGCTATTTTTTGTTCAACTTGAAAGCATTTTATTTATAGTATTTTTAAAAATTGTTTTCACTCAAGCGGTGACTTTGTGCTGTCTACATATACACATTTTGTATTACATAATATATGTACATAAGAATATATTTATATGTATGCATAGTATAAGTGGTATTGAAATGGCCAAATGCCAGCAAATAAATATATTATAGGTAACTTTGTATTTGTTGAGAATTTTGCGGCTGCTGTTTTTTGAAATATCCAACTGCTGCTTCTTATTGATTGCACAACAATTCTGATTGTGGTATAGGAATATTTTTATAGTATATCTTTAACATATTTGAGTGATAATTTGTACTTTTATAGGCAAATAGTAGTTGCAACAAATATTTTGTTAGGGGACTTTTTCGGCTAGCAATCAGCCATTTATGAAGAAAGACTCAAATAAAAAAACTTAATATATGTAGCACGTTTCTATAGGTAGTGGGACTAAGTAGAAAAAAATATTTCCTAGACTAATAGAATTTGTCTCGATACGGTTTGATTTTAACAATAGTTCCTATGTCCTTTGGCTCGGAGGTAAATAATTTGACAGAAAGTGGTTCAATAAACCAAGCAGTTGATGTGAGGTTTTTGTGAAAGCTTACTAACGTAATGCGCTGTAGGAAAATAGTCAAGAAATAGTCACCAGCCTGAAAAAAAATCGAACAAAATTTATTTCGCTTAAAAGTCTACAACATCATTAGAATATTTTAAGCTCTTCGACATTCCGAAATTCACAGTACTTCAGAAGTTACAGCAGTTAGAAGTCGGAGTGATGGACAGGCGCCGAAATGCGGTATATTTTTTCTCTGGCGTTTTCCTCCGATTTTTTTCTTTTTATACGCGATATCCTAACATCTACTGGACCATTTTGGCTGGCATTTTAACGACTAATTCTTTATAACATTATATCTAGCGCTTGTAGGAAGTTTTGATTCCATCTTCTGTTCTTAAGTTATGAATTTAAACAACAAAACTTGTTCATGAAAATTCATGTCGTTTGTTTCAAAACACTGGCATTTACACAAAAAAAAAATAGCTAATCCCTTCTTAACAATTTTTTTTTTTGTAATTTTCCGACTGTGCCCGATTTAGAAATCTTGTACACCTTTTTGAAAAGAGGGGGCTAATGGGTGATATACATATATCATTTTATCATTTTTTAAATATTTTTTATTTTTTTGAAGTTATTCCTTAATACACACGTACTCTATATATGTATATATAGAAGATAAACGGATTTTATAAAATTCATATCTGTGTCAGAAAAAAAAATTAGTATTTTATTCAATTTTTACTTTTTAGGTTAGCTTCAACACACAATTTTTGAGTTATTTAAAATAAAGCTGTACGGACACGCCCAGTTAAATATATTCCACTTCATAACACCCTGTATTTATATATGTGCATTCACACAAATTTTACCAGTTTATTAGCAAAAGAACAGTCTATTTTTTAAAGTTGAATCATAAATATATACATAAGTACATATGTAGAATTTATGAGCCTGTAGCATTTTTGTGAGTAGTAGAAACGTTTATTATTTTAGCAGTTACAAATAAGCAGCAAAAAAGATTAATTTATGGTAAATTTTTTCAATATCAGCAAAATGCTATAGCTTTAGCAGTCTGCGATATTTAAAAATATTATATTGGGAGTTAAATTTGAAGTGTAGAAAATTTATAAGTATTTTCCCAAAAAACCGTCTAAAAGGGCTTCACTAATGCTATTGCTATAATTGACCTTTAAATTTTTAATTCTACTTTTGCAGTGTTCAAAGTTTTAGTGTCTTTGCCACGATCGTTCATCATACCCTGTCACATTGGGTTAGGAGACAAATCGATTTCGGCGTTCTGCCATCTTCAGCGCCTTTTTTTTAATTTTTTCTAAGCTTAGTCATTTCTATGCACTCTGCTCCAATGAATTTCTTTTCATCGTGTTGCAATATTTAGTACTTATTTTCACTTACCATATCGATGGTGGTTTCACCCGTTTTGGTAGCACCATATTGCTTCCTGAAGTTCTTTACACGCTCCTGTTCGGCTGGAATTTTAGCAGCGAGCACATCACGCAAGCTCGAATCGGCCGAGATGAAACGAACCAAAAGCCCATTCAATTTCTATAATTGAGAAAAAGAAGAGATGTATCAAAATTATTAGATTAATGTAGTAGCAAAAAGAGATATGTAAAAATATTTATAGATATCTCCTGATTCAATATGTTTGAATACAAAAACCATGTTTTGCTGGAACTCGAATGAAAAGGGGGAAATATTACACTAATGTTTTTTTATTTGTTTTACTATGTTACAAAATCTATCGCTGACTAGCTGCGCGTCATTTGTTAATCGAATTGTTTTTTATAGCAAATTCTTATATACTATATATGTATGTAAGTATGTTGTACATTTTTACATACATATTAAGTACTATATATTAGATTATTTCAGCGGTCAACCCACTGTGCAAAAATTCTTGGCTCACGCTCATCGATTCACGTAATCCCCCCGCCGCATGTAATCTCAGCACAATGACAAAAAAAGCTATGTACATAAAATGCTACACTTGCATCGTTTGATGTCATTGTCATTGAATTGTACCCATCATTGTCGCTTCCAACCCCCTTGCCCTCTCGTCCAACGCCGTTAGCCCTAAAGTAAGCGTTAAAAACACGTCTAGCAGTCATAAAATTTTACAACTGATAAGCTGCTAAATAGCAAAATAAGTTGAACGACGGTTGCTGGATGAAATGATTTCTTATTTAAACTATACAAGGTGTCACAAAACATCTGCATTTCAATTTTGTGGGGTGTGGGGTGTGGGGAGTGGCATTTTTCTTTTTTTAACTTTAATATGCTATACTTAGGGGATATCACGCCAACTTAGTATATACGGCAAAGTAGAACTTTCTACATAAGATGCCTTTCGCCACTTAAATTCAAAAAATAAGTGCAGATTTTAGAAACACCCTGTATGTATTTATATCTGTAGAGATTGCTGTTTTTTTTTTAGAAGCACGTATGTATATAAAATTGATCTTCGCGACAAATTTCAATGTCAATATGCATACATAAATACAGACATATGTACATTCATATATTTACATACATACATATATACATATTTGTGCATTAACATTAGCTGATTACGTTTAATCAAAGAAAAAATTTTAAAACCAAATTGTATGTATGTATGTCAACTTAATAAGTATTGATTATACCATTATATAGTACATAAATAAGTCAGAATAACAAATTGATTTAGGAGCCATTTTTCCAAATTTCTTTTTACTACGGCTATTTAATTTGTTTAGCACTATTTCCCACACTTAGTAACTACTAGAAATCCTATTACTACTTTTAACTGCTAAATACTTTTAATTACTTTGTAATATTAAAATTAAAATTAAAATTTTTAGTACTAAGTACTATTTATGCAACTATTGCTATTAACTATTAAAACACTAATAGTTAAATTAAACTAGATTTAATAGTCTTTATTTCAGTACATACTATCATTTGTATTTTTCACACAAGGTTTTTCGTTTTTAGTAAAATTTTTGTCTACGAGTCTTTCGTCTACCATTCTTAAAATTATACTAATTGTAATAATTTTAATTTTAGTACTCGCTTTTCGATTTTAAATATAACTTTTTAAATTTTTAGAACAATGTCGTCACTACTTTTTAATAAGTAATTTTAGTACTATTCTTCATTTTTAGTGCTATTGCTCGTATTCACTATACTTCATTCCCGGTCCTATTCAATAATTTTAGTACCATCTTTTAGTTATGAGTGGTTCTCTTGATTTTTAGTACTATTATTTATTTTTAGTTCTGTATACTACTTCATTATTGATCCTTTTTTTAATTTTTAGCACTATAATTCGCATTCATTATGAGTTGTATTAATAATTTTTAGTATTATTCTTCCAACTACTTTTGTTACTAATTTATATACATACATTTAGTTTCTACGCCAATTTCTCTAACTTTTTATGTTCTCCATTTCTGCTACTTTTCTACTACAGTTCTACTATGTACATTTAGTAATATTGTATAAATTCTTAGTAACGTTGGTGTTTGAGTTAGATTCTGTGTTGAAGTGCAGTCAGCTTTAGGCTTCCAGAATGTTCCTGAGTCCTGTACGATCAATGATTGCAACTTCAACGTCATAACTTTGCAACAGCGATGCCTCCAAGAGGGTGTGACTTTGTTTCAACCGGACTCATGCGATGGTGATTACAAAACACAAATGATGTGTGCATATTAGTGCTGTTACTCAGATGAGTCACTTGGCGATCAAATGTCTTTAGGGCGCATTCAAACAGATTTAAGAACAAGAAAATACATATGTACACCCAAACTGGTATGATTAAGGTTAATCATCTCCTGACGAGTCACATTAGCCATCCGACATTGCTGTGTAATGCCAGGGAATCCCGATGAATAAATCATCGATTTCCATAAATTATTTTTTGTTTGTTTTCATTCTCACACAATACGAGTAACAATCGGAGAACGTTTAAACCGCCCATTGCAGTAATTGAATGTTTACCAAACATTTGATTGAGTCAAGTGCGACAGTACGCCCAGAGAGTGGCACTTGAGCGCTCGTTCAAAGCTATTTACAGCACGTTTTACCCCATCTCCCTACCACTTCGTTTCCCAGCCATGTACGAACCGATTTCAAGCATTCACATAACGTCGACGTACGATTATGCTGATAATGCAATCAGCGCGCAAGTTCATTGAAAATTTGAAATATGAATATGAATATGTAATGCGGCATTTGCACATATTTAGCTGTATCAAAAAAGAAAAAGAAAGAAAAATCGCTGAGTGGCGCAAAAAGTGGCGTGCACGAGGCTGTAGTAGCCAAACTCGGTTCAGAGCGCGGCTTAGCAAGTCAATGCTATTCGGAGAGTGATGATGCAGAGTGAGTGCCAGCAGCTGATGACGGCATCAATGCGCTGTGCTACGATCGTTAAGCGAAACAGTGGGCAGACAATTTATGAATTTGCATATGCCACGCGTGGAAAATTACGTATCTACGTAGCTATGTTTATACATTTGTATGTCGACATATGTACCTAGCATCTAATTGGTTTGCTGTCACAATTGTCACCAAGCGGCAGTGGGTTAACAAATTCGATTGACTGCTGAACTTGCGCTTAACTACAACTTGGGTGTCCCTGGCCGTGAGTGCAATGCGTTGTGTGTGTGGACTCTTACAACGACTTTAATAGATGGCATGCGTTTCATAACTGGTTAAGTTGACGCATGCAGCTAGTGTAGTGCGTCAAATGCGTCAAAAAAGGTAATAAATAAATAAGCGCGCGGCTGATATAATAAATAGAAAACGGAAACAACCGTGTAACAAATTAAACTAAAATCCGCTTAATTACTGCTCCCCTTAACTGCATAAATCACTTCAAAGCTTAATTTCAGTGATTTATTTACATATTTATTTATTTTTGAGACATTTTGTGAGCGATTTCCCTTTCACTTAAGTGCGCCAAAAAATATGCATGTGCATTAGAGTGATCCAAAAATGCATGTGAAAAAGTAAACTCGGAATTTTTATGCTCTCACCCCCAGGATTGTTCTATATCGAAAAAATATACCGCTATTTTTTATTTTGAAATCAAAAAATATTCAGATATCGCTCAAGGTGCTCAAAGTTTTCCATGTATTTTATATGGGACAAAATGCAGTGGGGGACCAATACAAAAACTGTAGTTTTAAAAAGTTTTGAGCGACCTTTAAATATTTTTTGATTTCAAAATTAAAAAGCAGGTGTATATTATTTTCAATATAGAATAATTGTAGGGGGTGAGAGCATTAAAATTCCAATTTTACTTTTTTTTTTGACCACCTTGCATACTTCTGCATACTACATTCATTTAATACATTAAAACATTTTTAAAAGATAATCCGCTTTACTGCTTTCTCTCCTTAAACTCCGAATATTGGCAGAAATTCAACTCTTTATTAGCCAATCGTTTATATATGCTAATCGCTTAAAGTTTTCCGTGCACAATTTAATACAGTGTAAATTTTACAGTAAAATATTGTAACACAAAATCCGCTTGGCTGCCACTCTTCTCAAGCGTACAACCCACCTACGTATTAAGCTTATTTTCAATAAGGAAAATGTTTTTTTTTAAGTCATGTATAATTTTTAAAAACATGAATTAATTTCCCGATTTTATTACCAGATTCGTTATTTCATAAAAAATGCATAAATACCGTAAATAATGTAATTAATTCCATTTACCAATAAAGCTAAACGAGCTTGCCTTGTTTCGTTGTTTGTTTTTTTATTGTAATTTACAAAGTATCATTTCAAAGCCATTAAATGCAGTGCGGAGAAAAGTAAACACAAAAGTAAGTTTACAAACTTCGTACCCAGCTTGCACACATGAACTTGAACTTTTGTAGAGGCATCGCGCGAACGATTGCGAATGCACTTAAGTAAAAACAATCGGAAGATAGTGCTATGAATGCACGCATTCCACAATTCAAATACAGGCAATTGAATAAATACGGGTTTTTTTTCACAAACACAGCCAATGGTTACTGTTGATCGCACTGATCAAGTAAGTGAATGGCTTGAAATGTTCGTGCTGAAGTTTTGAACGTGTAAGCGCACATTGCATGCGGCTTAAGTTCAATTCGTTTTTATGAAAAGTCTCAGACGATTAAGTTACTTGTTTTTGTTTCTTCTCTTTCCATTTGCTAGTAATGAAATGATTGACAAATTGAACATGCGATTTTAATTGAAATTTAAAAATAAGTATTTTCAAATGCACGAAGAGGCGCAGTAAGCCGAGAGAAAAAAGTAAATAAGAGGCATGCCAGCAGTTTCTAAAATGAGATTAGAATTTTATAAATAGCCCATGGCATATGCCGTTAGGAACATACTTTCCATTTATGTATGTAGTTTGAATTTCAAATTCATTTTAATTAATAACTAACATTTTTCAAACGTGGTAACACCTTATAATAGATATACTAAGCAGGTCATCAGATCTGCAACGTTCGTTCGACTTTCAAAAATGAGGTGTCAAAATAAAGCGCTTGGCCTGTAGATTTGCAAACCGGTTTTATTTTTTTGAA